AAAAGGTAAAGGTTTCAAGGAGCGGCTACGAAGTCAAAAATTTACTTGCGGGTTTTTTCGAAAACAATATTTTCATCGAAAATTTTCAGTAAATGGAATTATTTTGGAATTCGCGGGAATTGTACAGAATAACTTAATCCGACACATGTGGTTTAGGAATCCGTGTTCAATTTTACCCGAGACGTCCAGATTTTTGGAAAAAAAAAATTGTATATTATCTGTTCATTGTCTAGGAAGATTTTTGGTGTCAAGATGTACTGTCAAAGAATTGAGGTTAGGATGATGATGAGGTTTTATACAACACACATTGTTTTTGTTTGTTAACAACTTAATTCATTTATTTACCTTCGACCAATTTTTTGATATCATAATTTTTCGTTTTTCCTTTTTCTTCGATATTTCAATTTTTTGATTTCACAATTTTTGGTTTCATTATTTATTTTATTTTTTCAATTTTTCACATTCTCGGCTTCCGCAATTTTCGATTTTTCATTTTCGATTTTTGGATTTCTCAGTTTTTGATTTTTCGATCTTTCATTTTTCGTTGTCTCAATTTTTCAAATTCACGATTTTTGGATTTCTTAATTATCCGATTTTCAGCTTTCTTTAATTTTCAATATTCCGAATTTACAGTGCTTCGTTTCTACAATTTTTCAACTTCTTAATTCCAATTTTTAGATTTTTCAAAGTTTTCATTTTATACTTCTTCGTAGTGCCATTTTTGATTTTTCAATTTTACAATTTTGCTATTTTTTTTAATGCGAAGAGTTGGAAAACCGGAAAATTAGAGATCCAGAAACTAAAAAAACGAGAAGTTGAAAAATCGAAAAATTGCAAATCGAAGAACTGACGAAACCAAAAACTGAAATATGGAAAAACTAAAAATCTAAAAAAAATAATGAATCGAAAAATCATAAAATCCTCAAAATTGTGAAGTGGAAAAACTGTAACATTGAAAGATCGAACAACTGAAAAATTAAATATCGGGAAATTCAAAATCGAATAAATGAAAAAGTAAAACGAAAATGAAAAAAATTGCAGATCAAAAACTGAAAAAACGAACAATTGAAAAATCGAGAAACTAAAAAATCGAAAGTTGAAAAAACGAAAAATTGAAAAACTGACAAATCGGAAAATTGCAAAACGAAAAAAGGGGAAAATGGCAATAAAGAAGAGGGATCAATAAAACAAGACAAAAAAAAGACAACTGAAAAAATGAGTGGAAAAAAGACCAAAAAAAAAACAAAAAATCTATAAAACAGAGGACACAATATGACAAAAAAAACACGATACAAAAAAATCGGAAAAAGGCGATTTAAAAAAAGCAAAAAAAGGGCGATAAAAAAGGTGACAAAAAAGAAAAGTCAAAAATTAAGAGACATAAAGAAGATTGAAAAATAGGGTCAAAAAAGTGGACAAAGAAAGTGCACAAAAAAAGAACAACAAATAAAATGAACCAAAAAAAGACGACAAAAGAGACAACAAACAACTAGACAAAAAGTAGATGTAAACTCGAACAACGGCAGATCGAAAATGTGAAAAATTAAATATCGAAAAATTCAAAATTGAATAAATGAAAAAGTGAAAAATTTTTAAAATTACGATTATTACTATATATTTCAAATGAAAACTAAAAAATTTGCAAATCAAAAACTGAAGAAACGAAAAATTGAAAAATCGAGAAACGGAAATTTTAAAAATTGAAAAAACGAAGAAAAATTAAAAACCTAAAAGTTGAAAAACCAAAAAAATGAAAAATCCAAAACTTGAGAAATTTTACAATGAAAAAATATATGAAATCGGGACATTGAAAAACCGAAAAATTTAAAAAGTGAAGAAAATAAAAAATTCAAAGGAAAATTCTAAATCAAAAATTTGAAAAAATTAAATTTGAAAAATCGAAAAATTGAAAAACTGAAAAAAAGAAAAAATGGCAAAAAAGAGGGACCAATAAACCCCGACAAAAAAGACAACTGAAAAAAATGAGTGAAGAAAAGACCAACAAATCCACAAAAGGGGTAATAAAAAAAAGCGACCAAAAAAAGATGATAAAAAGGGCAAAAAATAAGGTTATTAAAAAAATGGAATGGAAAAAAATGTTTCAAAATTAAGGCGACAAAAAAGGGGACAAAGGCACTAAAAAAGGCAACAACGGACGACAAAAGAAAGCAAAAATGACAACAAAAAAACAGGACAAAAAGGAGCTGATTAAAATAAAAGTCGAAAAAAAAGGCGGAAAAAGTGAGGAAAAAAGACGATAAAGCAGACGACAAAAAAATTGACAAAAAAGAACAAAATACGAAAATAAAAATTGCGGAAAAAAGCGATTTGAAAAAAAAGGCAAAAAATGGCGATAAAAAAGGTGACAAAAAGGAAAGCCCAAAATTAAGGGACAAAAAAATCCAACAAAAATAAAGACGATTGAAAAAAATTGGTGAAAAAAATGGACAAAAAAAGAACAACAAATAAAATGAACCAAAAAAAGACGACAAAAGAGAGAACTTTAAAAAACTAGATAAAAAGTAAATGTGATGTCGAAAAACTGTAACAATGGCAAATAGAAAAACTGAAAAATTAAATATCGATAAATTTAAAATCGAATAAAAGAAAAAGTGAAAAAATTTTAAAATTACAATTGTTACTACTTACATATTTAAAATGAAAACTAAAATATTTGCAAATCAAAAACTGACTAAACGAAAAATTGAAAATTCGAGAAACTAAAAAATTTTAAATTGAAAACACGAAAAATTAAAAAATCTGAAAAAACCAAAAATTGAGAAATTTTACCATAAAAAATTATATAAAATCAGTACACTGAAAAACTGAAAGATTGACAAAATAAAAATTTAAAACTCGTGAAACTGCAAATCGAAAAATTACAAAATCTAAAACTAAAACATAAAATTTTAAAATGAAAAATGAAAAAATTATAAAATAGCAATATTGAAAAATCGAAAAATTGTAAAAATAAAGAAAATAAAAAACCGAAACGAAAAACTGAAAACTTAAAATGGAAAACTCGAGAAATTTTGACTCGAAAAATTAAAAAATTCAAAAATTGGAACACTGAAAAACTAAAACATTTATTAAACTTGAAAACTCGAAAATTTGCAAATCGAAAAAATGGCAATAAAAAAGGTGACAAAAAGGAAAACAAAAATTAAGGGACAAAGAAATCCGACAAAAATAAAGACGATTGAAAAAATGGTACAAAAAAGGACAATAAATAACTGAAAACTGAAAAATTAAATATCGAGAAATTCAAAATCGAATAAATGAAAAAGTGAAAAAAAATTAAAATTGCAATTATTACTACATATTTAAAATGAAAACTAAAAAATTTGACAATCAAAAACTGAAAAACCGAAAAATTGAAAAATAAAGAAAATAAAAGAAACAAAAAATAGAAAAATCGAAAAATTGTAAAAATAAACAAAATAAAAAACCGAAACAAAAAAAGCAAATCTGAAATTTGAAAAATTAAAATTGAAAACTCGAAAAATTTTGAATCGAAAAATAGCTGAATCGAAAAATTGAAAAATTCAAAAGTACGACAAAGACGACAGTAAAAAGAATTAACAATACATTTTAAAATAAGACATTTTCGAACAGATTGAATAATATTTTCATTGAAAATTTTTTGAAATAAACGGAATTATTTTGAAATTCGTTGAAATTCCTTTAAATGCACCAAAACTGCATTAAAGTAACAACTTTATCAATTTTTGTTTAATCAGTTTTAATTCATCAAGAGTGGCAAAATTAATTGCAACTCTCGACTACGCCGCGTGATAATAATAGGAATAGAAAAAAAATTGTCAATAAATTTTATTCTAGAAATTCATTAAAAATTGATGAAATTATTGATTTTCTCTTAGATTTCGTTGTCTATAATTCTTGCGAATTTTTCTGCCTTCTCTTGAATTACATCAAATTGTCAAGAATTTTCTTTCTATGATTAACCTTGGAATTTGTTAATTGTCAATGTTTTTTATTTTGAAAATATATTAAAAATTGATGAATTTTTTGTTTTTTATTAGATTTCTTTTGTCCGCAGTTGTTGTGGAATTCTCTGTAATTTCTATGACTTCTCTTGAATTACCCAAATTATCAAGAATTTTCTACAATCAGCCTTGAAATTCACCACTATGAAACCAACTCTCACCGGAGCCTCGGATTAATCAACATCTTCGGAAACAGTGAACCCTATTTGGATCGAAAATTTTTGAAAATAAATGAAATTACCTTGGAATTCGCTGTAATTCTTTTAAATGCACCAGAATCACAACTTTATCAGTTGCAATTTTTTACTTTATTTCTTTTTGTACTAATTTTTTGTTTAATTAGTTTTAAATAATCGAAAGTGGCAAAACAGCGCGATTACTCATCTCGTTTACTTGTATTAAAAAATTAATTAAAAATTAAATTAGATGTTTGTTGTTTTTTTGCAGATACTATTAGTGAAAAAAACTGGATCGTTAGCAAGTTTGGTCTAGTTGTTGACTAATATGTTACTTAATATTCCTGACGACAGTAACAAAAAATAACATTTTTTTTTAATTTGATGATGTTTTCAAAAACACTAAAGAATTTTTCCTGATTTGAAAAAATAGTGCCAACGTAATGCATTAAACTTTCTTAACAGTAGACAGACAGAATCTGAGTAAAGTTTGTTTTCTTTTCTTATGACTTAATTATAAGTAAACCAAGATATATAAACAGCCCGTATTTATCTAGTCGATTATTCATTTCGTTCTCCGAACCCCACTAAACAAAACGCGAAAAATTCTAATCACCAGATGACTCAATTATCATCATCTTAATCCCACTCCACAAATTTCCACATCCTCGCCCTAATTTGCATGTCACAGCCAAGTTTCCTCGACAAAGTCGCTTTCAAGGATAACAAAACCGTCAGCAGCCCAAACCCACGCCAATTTCCAAAAAAAAAATCCAAAAATTTTTTTTTCTAATCGAAAAACTCAAAAACCACTTACGTGTGTCCGTCGCGGCGCCCTTATCCTTCGAAGCCCTCCTTCATCCGATCCCTGGCGTGCAACACGTGAATAATGTGCCAATACTTACATCACCGCCGCACATGCACCTTTAAGCACCGATTTCACGCGAACCGCGGACCGTACGAGCGCGTTTCGGCCGGAGGTGGACGCGTCCGCCGCCAAATAACACCCCTTTCGCTTTTGGTCTCGGCTTTTGGCAGCGTTCGGAAGCTGGCTCGATTTGAAGTGTGGCGCCGCCTCAGCTGGGCATCGCGCGGGCCTTCGTCGGCTGGCAACACTTTCACTTAGGCTTCGTCCTCTTCCACTTACCTGCCGGTGCCTGTGTGGGACGGACAGGTTCTATTATGCGGTTTCATAGACGGTTGCTCGCTAACTAGCCCGCTCCTGGTACAAAGGCGATCCATATTCGCGCCGGAGGACATGGGCGCTGCGGGAGGTGGAGGGGGGAGTGCGTGTCCTGGTGGTGAGGTCTTGGGGCGCTCTGGACGGGGGGTTGTGGTCGGGATATCCTGGGAAAGGGTTGGCGGGCCGGGGGTTGAAGCACAGTGAGGAATGGCGAAAAATGGCAAGTGGGAAGGAAAATTGGTCGAAGGTTATTTCGGGAGAACTTTCCTCGGCAATGAATGAGTTTTTTCGGATTTTTTTTTCTGATAACTTGTATAAAATCGAAAACCAGTTTCCAATTTTTGAATTTTTCGATTTTTAGACTTCGAAATTTTTCGTTTCGGTTTTTTTTTTATCTTTTCAGTTAAGTATTTGATTCTTCAATGTTCCGATTTCATAATTTTTTGGTTCTCAATTTTGCGTTTCCTCAGTTTTTCTTTTTGTGATTTTTCGGTTTTTTATTTTTCTTGTTTCTTCAATTTTTGATTTAATTAATTTTTCGATTCTTCAATTTTTCATTTCTTCAAATTTTCGATTCTTCAATTTTCCATTTTTTGTTTTTTCAATTTTTCAAATTTTCAATTCTTTAATTTCACATTTTTTTTCCAATTTCAATTTTTTCAATTTTCGTTTCTTCAATTTTTCGATTTGCAATTTTTCATTTTTCTTGTTTCTTCCATTTTTAGATGCTGTAATTTCTAATTTCCTCAATTTTCGGTTGTTCATCTTTTCATTTCTTCGATTTTTCGATTCGTCAATTTTTCATTTCTTCAAATTTTCTATCCTGCATTTTTTCCATTTCTTCAATTTTTCGATTCTTCAAATTTTCGATTTTCCAAGGTTCCCATTTTATAACTTTTTGTTTATAATTTCAGCTTTTTCAATTTTTCGACTTGCAATTTTTCAGTGTTTCATTTTTCGTGTTTTTTCAAGTTCTTAATTCTTTAATTTTTCTTTTCTTTAAATTTACGATTTTCCTATGTTCCCATTTTATATCATTTTTGTTTTTCAATTTCAATTTTGTTCAATTTTCCATGTCTTCAATTTTTGATTTTCAATTTTTTTATTTTTCAATTTTTTTATTTTTCATTCTTCTTGTTTCTTCAAGTTTTCGATTCTTCAATTTTTCATTTCTTCAAATTTTCGATCGTTCACTTTTTCATTTCTTCAATTTTTCGTTTCTTCAATTTTTCGATTCTTCAAATTTTCGATTTTCCAAGGTTCTTATTTAATTTTTTTTGTTTTTTCAATTTCAATTTTTTCGATTTGCAGTGTCTTCAATTTTTCGATTTTCTAATGTTCCCATTTTATATTTTTTTGTTTTTTCAATATTAACTTTCTTCAATTTTCCGTGTTTTCAATTTTTGATTTGCAATTTTCTTATTTTTCATTTTTCTTGTTTCTTCAAGTTTTCGATTCTTCAAATTTTCATTTCTTCAAATTTTCGATCTTTCGCTTTTTCATTTCTTCAATTTTTCGATTCTTCAAATTTTCGATTTTCCAAGGTTCCCATTTATTTTTTTTTATTTTTTCAATTTTAGTTTTCTTCAATTTTCCGTGTCTTCAATTTTTGATTTGCAATTTTTTATTTTTCATTCTTCTTGTTTCTTCAATTTTTCATTTCTTCAAATTTCGTTCCTCCAATGTTCCCATTTAGTAATTTTTTGGTTTTTCAATTTAATTTTTGTTCAGTTCTTTGTTTCTTCAATTTTTCATTTCCTTAAACTTTCGATTTTTCAATGTTACCATTTTATTTTTTTGTATTTTCAATTTAAATTATTTTAATTTTTCATTTTTCTTGTTTTCTCGGTTTTTCGATTCTTCAATTTTTCATTTCTTCAAACTCTGGATTTTCCAATGTTCCCATTTTATAATTTTATGATTTTAATTAAATTCAAATTTTTCGATTCTTCAATTTATTTTTTCAATTTTTCGATTCTTCAATTTTTTCGGTCCAATTTTTCATTTCTTCGATTTTTCGATGCTTCAATTTTTTTTATTTCTTAAATTTTTCATTTCTTCAAATCTCGATTTTCAAATGTTCCAACTATATAATTTTTTGTTTTTTCAATTTCAGTTATTTCAATTTTTCATTTTTCTTGTTTCCTCAATTTTTCGATTCTTCCATTTTTCATTTCTTCAAACTCTCGATTTTCCAATGTTCCCATTTTATAATGTTATATTTTTTAAATTTTTTCAATTTTTCACTTCTTCGATTTTTAGATTCTCTAATTTTTCATTTCTTCAATTTTTAGATTCTTCAAGTTTCCTTTCTTCAATACTTCGATTCTATAATTTTTCACCTTTTCAATTTTTAGATTTTCCAATTTTTCATTTATTCAATTTTTCGATTTTTCAGTTTTTCATTTCTTCAATTTTTCGATTCTTCAATTTTTCATTTTTTCAAATTTCCGATTTTCCAATGATCCCATTTTATAATTTTGTTTTTCCAATCTTAATTTTTTTCAATTTTTCTTTTCTTCAAATTTTCGATTTGCAATTTTTCGTGTCAGTATTTAATTTTCTTTATTTTTACAATTCTTCGATTCTATAATTTTTCACTTCTTCAATTTTTAGATTCTTCAATTTTTCATTTCTTCAATTTTTCGATTCTTCAAATTTTCATCTCTTCAATTTTTTCGCTCCACATTTTCATTTCTTCGATTCTTCAATTTTTTCATTTCCTCAATTTTTCATTTCTTCAAACTCGATTTTCCAATGTTACCACTTTATAATTTTTTGTTTTTTCAATTTCAATTATTTCAGTTTTTCATTTTTCTTGTTTCCTCAATTTTTCGTTTCTTCAATTTTTCGACTCTTCATTTTTTCATTCCTTCAAACTCTAGATTTTCAAATGTTCCCATTTTATAATTGTATGTTTTTTCAATTTTTCACTTCTTCAATTTTTAAATTCTCTAATTTTTCTTGTTTCTTCAATTTTTCGATTTTTCAATTTCTCATTTCTTTAAATTTTCGTTTCAGTTTTTTATTTTCTTTTTTTTACATTTTTTCGATTTTCCATTATTTGTTTTTTCAATTTCAATTGTTTCAATTTTTATTTTTTTTTGTTTCTTCAATTTTGCACAATGCAAATCTTCGAGTTTTCGTTTTCGAATTTTTCAGTTTTTCAATTTTTCAACTTTTAGATTTTTTTACTTTTTTGTACTTTTTATGAAAAGTAGAAAAATTGCAAATCAAACATCGAAGAAACGAAAAATTGAAGTATGAAACCGAAAAATCTAAAACTTTTAAATTTGTGATGATAATAATTCAATTAAAATTTTTTCACTTTTTCAATTTTATGATTTTGAAAACTTTTCATTTTTCATTTATTGGACTCTTCACTTTTTCGATTTAATATTGCAATTTTTCATTTCTTCAAATTTTCAATTTACAATTTTTCGTTGCTATTTTTTATTTTCTTTAATGTTCTGATTTTATCATTTTTTGTTTGTCAATTTCAACTTGTTCAATTTTTCGTTTCTTCAATTTTTCAATTTGCGCTTTTTCAAATTCTTCATTCTTCCTTGTTTCTTCAAATCTACGAGTTTTCATTTTTAAATTTTTGAGTTTTTGCAATTTCCAACTTTTAGAAGTTTTAATTTTTAAATGTTGAAATTTTTCGATCTGCAATTTCACGGGTTTTCAATTTTTAATTTTTCAGTTTTTGGAATTTTCTATTTTTCATTTCTTCAATTTTTCAATTTGCGATTTTTCATTCCGGTTTTTTATATAAATTCTGATTTTTTCAATTTTCGGTTCCCCAGTGTTCCGATTTTATAATTTTTCGTTTTTCAATGTGAAAATTTTCAAATTTTGGATTTTCCAGTTTTTCGATCTGCAGTTTTTCGGTCTTCATTTTAGATTTTTCAGTTTTTGTTTCTTCAATTTTTGATTTCTATTTTTCTTTCCAAATTTGTAGTAATAATTTTAAATTTATTCAACTTTTCAGTTTTTCAAAATTTTCATTTCTTTTTCGTTTCCTCAATTTACGAAACTATTTGACTTTTCATGTTTAAAATTTTCAGTTTTTCCATTTTCCATCTTTTGATATTTCAATTTTGCAGTTTTTCGATTTTGCAATTTTTGATTTTCTTCATTTTTTCCGATCTTTTATTTTTTCGATTTTTTAACTTTTCGAATAAAAAAAAATGGAAAATTTGTAAAACTGTAAAAACCAAAAAACGGAAAAGTATAAAATGAAAACTTTGAAAAACTAAAAATTGGAAATCAAAATCTTGAAAAATTGAGGAAACGAAAAATTAAAGATTGTAAGTAGATTTATTAGGCAAAATTTTGAGTTGACGTCATCAATTGTTTGGAAGGGTATAAACGAATGAATTTTGATTAACTATATTGAACACGATAACCTTAAAACGTTTACAAGATTTAAGAGCATTCGGACAGACGACAGACAGGCAGACAGACAGACAGACAGACAGGCAGACGGAAACGGGAGACCACTTAGAAGAGAAGTTACAAGAAAAATTGGACTAAAATTATGTAATTTTATTTAATAAATTAAATTAAATGCTGACAGAAAAACTTTTCATGGAGACTTCTCGTCATCGATTCCTCCTGTAGGTTTCACATGACATTAAAAGTTCTTTTGACACTTTAAATGCTGCTAATTTGTCAAATTACAAATTTTCAAAACTCTATGTGAAAAAATCTTCCAACTCTTTAATAGCTTGAAACACAGATAGTGAAAGTCGCTACGTAAACACCATCAGCTGAAGAACTCCAACTAATCCCAATGCATAATTCATACCCACCGCCTCAGGGCCAGCCTTTACCAGCTCAAGTGTACCTATCCATAATTTACATTATCTGTGAATACTCGAATCATAATCATAACGGTAGAACAACAGTTACGCTTCGCCGTAATAAATTTTGATCAAATCCAACCCAGCCGTACCTCTGTCCATCTCCGCCCATGACCAGGACGCACGTCGCCATGGGCAATGTCCGTTCACAACATACCCAGCCGCAATGCGAAATCGCATGG